TGATGGGCTGCCCAACTGTAAATAACAAGGAAATGATCGAGTGCTTGAAGAACAGCTCCGCGAGGAGCATTGTTGAATCTGTCAAAGAATTCATGGTGATACATTTTTTGTAGATTAAAAACTTCTTTCTTTTTAATTCCTCTGTTATTGCTACCAAAAATACGTTGGTTTTAGTACTTACTTTACGTGTACACGAATAATTTCGAATTACCTCTTTTGTTTGGACGTATAACGGGCATTTAAAAAAATTTTTTTTTTATCATATTTTACTGATTGTATGCAATAAACACATACACGTTTTGCGCGAGACTCCATTAAAAATAGTTATATTAATATCTTTTTCCTCTTTAACATTGATATTGAAGTGATTATCGGCTTTGAAAAATTCCGGAAAATAATGTAAAATGGTACAAACGTTAGTAAATTCTGAATTTATGCACGAACAAAAAAAAAAAAAAAATTTTGTACTTAAAAAACTAAATTGTCTACTGATTAACTTTGCCAGTTTACGTGTTTATAATATTACTTGGAAAAGTTTTTCTGTATGCTTACAATTGACATTAAATTTATTCATAAAAAAATCACTGATTCATCACATTGTCACCTCATAGTACAAAACATGATTTTCCAGCCCTGGCTGTACAATCCGTTCACTCCGTTTGGTCCAGTCGTGGAGAAAGGAGGCGACAAGCCGTTCATCAGCCGCCCACCGATTGAAATACTCGAAAGTGGCGATTTTTTGGACGCCCCGTGGATAACGAGCGTCACCAGCGACGAGGGACTCTATCCAGTGGCAGGTAAGTAAAGTTTTGAAAAACTTATGATTTTTAGAAATAAAAAAAAAAAAAAACCAAAAACAACGTAATTTAATTATAAATTTCCAAGAATTTGCGCTCAACGAAACGCTTATGGCAGAGTTGGATAAGGAATGGGAGTGCCTAGCTCCATTCTTGTTATATTTCAATCACACGATATCGGAAACGTCTCAAGACATGATGGCACTAAAAATTCGACAGCATTACTTGGGACACAGGCCTATTAATCTGAAAAACATAAGAGCAATCATCAAAATGTTTGGCGACAGGCTGTTCGTCGCTGACGCGGAACAAGCCGCCCGGATGCAAGCCAAGGCCAATAGGAGTCCCGTGTGGTTTTATTATTATAATTATAGAGCTACAACGAGTCTCACCGAACTACTTAGCGGCACGAAGACAAATTTCGGTTTGTTGTAAAAAAATTTTTACATTAATTATTCGTAACGTTATTATTAAAAATGATGAGGAGAGGAAAGTTTTTGAAATGTTATTTATTAGGAAAATGTTAAAACTCAATAATACATATACATACTACATTTAAATCGTTTGTTAAAAATTTTTTAGATAAAATTTCTGTTTTAAGTTAAAATTAAAAAAAAAACAAAGATTAATTAACAGATAAAATAAGCTTGCTTTAACTAATGATAAATAATGTTTATCGTAGGTGTCAGCCATGCAGATGATATTTTATTTTTGATAGAGAATAATTTTGTCCAGTCAACAGCTACCGAAAAAGATCGAGAAATGCAAGATGATATAATTTTTTTGTTGGCTACTTTTGCTGACGATGGGTGAGTCGACATCTTAATTTAACTGCCAACATGAACAAATGTTCTTTTCATTAAATTGTTTTTGCTTTTAGACGGCAAATTTTAACACCATTTTGGAAAAGAGTCGATGCTGCGGATGATTATTTTCACTATTTAGAGATTTCTGGTCCAGTTACATTTCAAATGACTAACTCTTCCAACTTGGGAGACAAAATGTTTTGGGAAAGAATTAAAAAAAATCTTAATTTGACGTTACCAGTGAAAGACGAATTATGACGTACTTTTTGAGAAATGTATCGAACTCCTCTCACAGTTAATAGTAATATGGGGCTGGAAGAAAAAAAAAAATTATATGATACGTTAAAGCATTATTTTAATTTATTGATATTTTACATATTAATATTATAGTNACATCTCATTCAGCTTTATTTTCGAGCGAAGATACCGATATACCGACGACACGACAATCAAATAAAGTTTTTTCAACTTTCTCCTTTGGAAAACGTATGCAAATCCCGCTTTGGGAGACAAACAACACGACAACGATGATAATAATAATAATAATAATACCTTAAGCAATAGGGAATTTTTTAGTAGTGTTAAAAAAAATTAAATTAATACTTTTTTTTTACGTACCATTATGGACCTAAGGTTAAAATCTTCGACGGAATTTTGGTGTGCCGGTTTTTTATACAGCTTAAAAATTCCTACTGTATCACCGAAAATTATCCGATCACCGTCTTTGATTTGATAATTAGACAGAGCTCTCAAAGAGAACTGAAAATAATTTTCTTATTAATTGAAATTAGCAACAATCAAACAGTATGATTTTTGTATTCAAATGATACTATTTTCTCGTCAACGTTTGTCTCCTATAAAATTTATCAATGCATTGTGGCTTTACACGCTGATTGATAATTAATCCTTGATGAATACAAACTTTACATTTTCTTGGTCAAATACTTACGTTATTTATACGTGTTTTATTGCATGATTCCAAGTCTTTGAGAAATATTACTGCACCATCAGATTTTGCTTCAATTTGTGCGTGTTTTCTTGATACAGACTGTAAAAAATAAAATAAAAAATCATTTCACGTTATCAATGTAGGGTGATATGTGTTTCAGTGAATAATATCACTGCATAACTGTTAAACCCAAAATTATTTTATACAAAACCGCAAACTTATACACATCTCTTCACCAGAAAAAAAATTGAAAAATTAGCAGCTTTAAGTCGGTAATTTACTGCTCTATTTATTTTTATGTTTAAGTATTCTGCGTGATGTAAAGTTAATATTTTTGTTGATGCGTTGAAAAATGAATTACCATTTGTTTTGCCATTGAAGATTAAATATAATTTTTGTGATTTGTTTTAATTTTGACTGTATCTATTCATTAAGTATAATAGCTTAGTTATCAAACCACAATTGTTTATTGAAACTAACAAAAAAATTATTATAATATTAGTGTGAAGAAAATTTTACACGTTGTAGTTTATTTTATAAGATAAATAAAGTTCATCGTGAAGAAAATATTCATGCAACAACAATAATGTCTGGAATATTTGATACGAAAATTTTGTTGACATTCATCTCATAAGAACGTGATCCAAAATTAATTAATTTTTTTGAACTGATGCAAACGATTTTTTGTTTGTAGAACATACCCCATCTCTGATTGCTATGTCGCACTCAGGATCTCTTCCTATTGTTGTGATCCCAGGGAATACCGTGTACATTGTTTCTTCTATGGTTAACTCAGCTATCTAATTATTAAAATATAATATTAAGTTTAAAATTTTATATCGTGAGAAATATAATTTTACAAATTTGATCTAACAGGTTTCTGATCCCTTTGGACCTTTGTTGAACTAAGCAGCTGTGTGGCTGCAAACTCATGTTCATTGATTTCTTGAGTATCCGACGCCATTATCAACTATTTTTCACTGTCACAGATTCACTTGAAAAATCAGAACTGTATGATTTTAATGTCAAAGGAAGAAAACGATTGAGAAGGATAAAATTTTTAGTTCATAAAAAATAATTGTGAGGCGAAACTTATTTATAGCTTGAAAATCGTAATTTTGACGTGGTCATGAGTGAAAAACTGCCTAGATTATTCGGAACAGATGTCTACCGGTAAAAACAAAGTGGTGAATAAACAGTCCAACTAAGACTGACTAAAATCCTTGTAGTTTTATAAAGTTTCGATACCTGGAATTTTAAATCGTATATTTCATAAGATTCACACACAATACTTTTCCAAAACAACTAATACATTTATAATTCTTATTGGTGTGTATAAGTGTAAAAACAATAATTATTGTCAATTCTTCATTGAAAAATGCATGAAAAAGTAGTCATAAATTATTATGGATTATTTTTTATTTTTTGGGAATTTTCCTATACAATAGAAATAGCTTCACTTGTACGATGATGGAGAAAAGTATGAATTGCCAAGTTAAATCAAATGATATTGCTCAACTCGTTAGATTTTTCACTCTAAAATTCCTTAACTTTTGTCAATCAATAATAAAACTAAGAATTTGTCAAGTCATCAATCATTTTATTTGTTAGAATAATTAATAACTATAATATTTAAAATCAAAGGAAGTTTTTTATCTTAAATAATTAATAACAATAATATTTAAGATCAAAGGAAGGAAGATAATTTAATTGTTACGTCAATAATTTTAAAAAACGTTTATAAAAATCATAATGACTGACTTTATCTATATAGCAGTGAAAGATAATGAATTCTTTATACGAAGGATATGGCAGATTGGATGCCTTTATTAAAATTACTTTAATCACAAATGTTCAACGAGTATCATTCTGACTATGTCAACTTTATACCCTCTCGAACGGCTGTATTATTGACGTCATTGACGCAGTTTCCCTCAATTTTGCTGTCGTCACACACTTTGCTTACTAATATTTCAAGCTAAGGCCTTCCAACAATTTTTCGATTGTACCGATAAGTAAATTAAAATCAAACATTCGATAAAAATATATCTTTGAAAAGTTGGTTAAGATTTTTAAAATTTAGAAAAAATTTTTTTAACATTTAGAAAAATTCCATTATTTATTGATAGCTGTGGTCAAATATTTAAAAAAATTGTATGGTGGGCCTTATTGTTTCTTAACAGTCTTTGGTATAAATTAATGAAATTAAAGTATCCAATAAATTTTTTTCTCTTGAAAATAATTAATTAAATCATGTCAATTATCTATTGCATTTTATTACACTATGTAATACACAGCGGAATTTCAATACTAATCTGCAAAAAAAATGTATTATTTCTGTATAAATATCACATTGTGTATAAAAGTCATGATAGTGAAATTATACGTATGTTAGATGTATAAGCATCTGTTGTTTATTTAAACCGATAAACTAATGTTTACATTAAAATATCATATCCCGGTGTGATAGTAAAATGCCTAACGATACATAACGATGTACGTGATTGATTTACGCAAATATTTTCCGATAATTATTATTAGCTGCCGATATCGTTATTGCTGAGGTAAAATTGTAAATCTGATTCATTAAAATCCGTTACATTTCTGAAATATTAAAGTACATACAAGTAAATCACATAAAATCTTGAAAAACAATTAAAGCGAATAACGTCAAACACACCCACGCACTCCACCAATATAAACAAAGCTTGAAAAAAAAATTTTTTTTTTAACTCAGCAAATGCTGATCAAGATCTTCCCTTTGTTGGCTTACAATTTTTTCCCTCTCGAGTTTTGAATTCGGACGTAGAGCAACAGCGTGCCCCAGAATTTAATGCCGGCGTGGATGCGTAATAGCATTGGGTTTTCTATTTTTATCCGTAAAAACACGTGTCACTGTTGCTCTAATTTTTTTGCGGGTAGCATTCATTTGTGCACGTAAAGTGCATTCATCACTTTTACGGAAAGTCGGGAAACGTGCGAAGTTTGATTTGTGACGACCTTCTCTGCGTCAAATCTACAAGTGCTTTTTCTCTAGAAATGTGTGTGTTTGAACTGTACCTTGTTTTATGGAATTAGCTGTATTTTATAAATTTATCAAAACTTTATTTGCACAAAACGTTGAAAATACCATATACGTAATGATCACACAAAAAATATTACCATTTGAGTATGGATTGAAAAACGATAA